TTAGTGGTTTAGTTAGTTAGTTAGTTAGAGAGAGAGAGAGAGAGAGAGAGAGAGAGAGAGAGAGAGAGAGAGAGAGAGAGAGAGAGAGGAATAAAATTTAATTATAATTTTTCTTAATTATTATTAATGATTGCAATTTGATTACAAAAACACAAATAGTGGAAGAAATTGCAATCAATTGCAAACAAATTTTTTAAAAAAATAATTATTACTATTATTTACTATTATTATTATCTATTATTATCACATATATATAGCTATGCGCCTACACTACGGGGATATGACTGACAGTTCATGTCTGGTTAAGATCATTGTCGAGATCAGGCCTACAGAGATCTACAACTTGGCCGCACAGAGTCACGTAAAAGTATCGTTTGATTTAAGCGAATATACCGCCAATGTTGACGCCTTGGGTACCCTCCGTATATTGGATGCCATACGTACGGCCGGACTCGATCGTACCGTACGTTTCTATCAGGCCTCGACATCCGAACTATACGGTAAAGTACAGGAAATACCCCAGAAAGAGACGACACCTTTCTATCCCCGTTCGCCATATGGTATGTCTACCCAAAATAAAAACCAACTGTTGTTTTATATACTAATAATAAGATAATAATAATAAGATTAGGATTAAGATTAAGATTTATATATATAAAAAAAATTATTAGAAGATTATAGAAATATTTTTTTTTTGTTCTAATGATTAGTGAGAAAATAAAAAGTTTTATTTTATGTTAAATTAAATAATAATTTTAATAAGATTTTTGTTGTTGTGATTAATATTTTTTTTAGGAATTTACTATTTAGGAAAAAACTATTATTATTATTATTATTATTATTAAATAATAATTATTATTATTATTAAATAATAATTATTATTATTATTAAATAATAATTATTATTATTATTATTAAATAATTATTAATAAATTAATAAATAATTTGTAAATTGTTTGAAAATAATACAATAATTAATAATAATAGCTAACAATTACCGTAATTATATAGTTTATAATATCAATTGCCGGTAATATACTGTATATATAATTGTATAAACACTGTATGAAAAGTATTTATTTATTATTATTATTGATAATTATATCAACAACAAAAAAATCAAATTTAAATCAAAAAATAATTACCAATTTTGATAACATATATATATACCGTTAATTAATATGTTTTTTTTTTAATTCATCTACAGGTGCGGCCAAACTGTACGGCTACTGGATTGTCGTCAACTACAGGGAGGCCTACAATCTGTACGCTGTGAACGGTATACTATTCAATCACGAATCGCCCCGTCGGGGCGAAACGTTTGTCACCCGCAAGATTACCCGATCGGTGGCCAAAATCTATTTGGACGAAATGGACAGTTTCGAGCTGGGCAATCTGGACGCCCGACGCGATTGGGGTCACGCCCGGGACTATATCGAGGCCATGTGGCTGATGTTACAGCCGCCGGAACCCGAGGACTATGTTATAGCTACGGGACAGTCGCATTCGGTCAGGGAGTTTGTCGAACTGGCCTTCAAACATATTGGCCGGGAAATTATGTATGTATTTTAGACATATATATATATAGTTACCGTTACCATAAAATAATGGTATAATTTAAAAAAAAAATAATTACCGGTACTTTATACATACAAACACGTGTGTATATAAATTGTTTATATAAATTAGTTTTTACCCTTAATTAATATTACAATATATATTTTTTTATTTACCTGTAATATACCGGTAATAATTAACATAATACAGTGTATATATATATATATATATATATATATAGAGAGAGAAATTTATAGATATTCATAGATACCTGTATTATGTATTAATTATTACCGGTATATTACAGGTAAATACTATATATATAATATTAATTAAGGGTAAAAACTAATTTATATAAACAATTTATTATACACTTATTTGTATGTATAAAGTATCGGTAATTATTAAAAAAAATATACCATTATTTATGGTAACGGTAACTATATAATTAATATATGATGATAATAATAAATATAAAACATTATTTACCTGTACTATGAATTACCGAAAATATTTTTTTTTATTACAAAAAAAATTATATATATATTTTAATAATTTTTTATTTTATTTATTATTATCAAAAAAAATAAATGTCACATACTTTTGGACGACCCAATTGATTGGACCAATTGATTGATGAATGATTTGAATGGACGGACAGATGGGAAGGAAGTGGTATTAACGAAGTGGCAATAGAGAAGGGGACGGGTATTATACGAGTCAAAGTCAATCAAAAGCATTTTCGGCCCTCTGAAGTGGTAAGTGTCCTCACACATACATACATACACACACACACACACACACACACACACACACAATAAATATAACAATTTTATATATATCAAAGTAAACTACAGTATGTACTTATTGATAGTTGATGACAATTGTTAGATATACAGTGCTTGAATGAGAGAGAGAGAGAGAGAGAAAAAAACTACCGGTGCGATATCGATACCCACCAAACATAATTGCAGCAATAGTTGAAAGAGAGAGAGAGAGAGAGAGAGAGAAAGAGAGCAATTTTGGTGGTCAACCACTTCATACAGTATTCAAGTGGTTGGCGTTAAGAGTCGAAAGAGAGCAAAGAGAGAGAGAGAGAGAGAGAGAGAGATGAGAGAGTCAGTCAGTTAGTAGAGTAGGTATAGGTGTGCGACAGTTTTCCTGGAGACCTAACAGCCCTTGAATGAGAGGGATATATATATATATATATATATATATATATCAATATATAATATATATATATGTATATCACTGATATATCTTTGACACTACTTGAGAGCACCACTTTGGTGGTGGTATACAGAAATGGTAGTTCAATAATACTTATAGTATTTATTTTAAAAATATTAAGGTTTTACCGGTGTGTGTGTGTGTGTCGACTATGATCCCACTCGATGGGCACCCAATGTTTATTTTTGGTGGCTATAGTAAAATAAAAAGGCTACTCAACAACTAATATATATATATATATGAAAGTATAGTGTATTATATGTATATTGAAAAGCCCGACAAAAAAAATGTCGATTATTTTATGGTGAATGGGATTTCAATTTAATACCACTTAAGGGTTAGGGTATTGTTGTAGTTTTTTTTGATACAGTTTTGTGTGTGTGTGTGTGTGTGTGTGTGTGTGTGTGGATACAATTGATTTTTTTTGCTGGGTGAAATCAATATACATTTTTTTATTCACACACACACACACACACACACACACACACACATCAATAAGTAAAAATAATATACAATTAATATATATAATTTATATATATATAATTATATTATTATTGATAAGATAGTTAGTAACTAAAACTATATATATATAACATATAGTTATATATATATAATTAAAATTATATATATTAATATATTTTAAAAATTTTATAGTTTATGTTTGTGTGTAAATAAATAATTTATAAAATTACAAGTTTATAATACAATATACAGTAAATTTAATTACTTATTATATATATATATATATATATATATTGTTGTTGTTGTTGATTAAACTTCACAAAATCTTTGTAATACAATAATAATAATAATAATATAATAAAATTATATATATATATACTGTATATCTATGTTTAGATGGAAAGCATATGATTGTTATGGGGTGTGGGGAGGTATTAAAGTTTTCATCACTATTTAAAAAAAATTATTATTATTTTTTTTTTTTTGGTTCAATCAAACACCAAAACTAAAAACACTTGACATAAACAAATGCCTGTCATCTGAACCAACAAAAAAAAAAAAAAATGTGACATAAATTCCTATACATTCCCAAAAAAATACAGTATATATATATATGCAGTTTTGTGTCTCTTAAAAAACACATACACATTGCACTGGTATTTAAATTTTTTTTTGGGAGAGAGAGAGAGAGAGACCCCACACATACATACAGATAATTATACAAACAATTAGGGAACCATTTAATATTATAATACTGTACTAATATTTTTGTTGTTGATATTATTGGCAAAATGTGTGGCATAATTACTATTTGGCATTTAGTTTAAATTTAAATATATATATATATATATATATATAAAATTATATACAGTATTTTTTGTCATCTAATTGTGTGCTAAATAAATAATAATACTAAATAATAATGATTTAAAAAAAATAAAATTAAACTATAATATTATGAATTGACAATATTTTAGATTATATATTATACATGTATTTTATTTATTATCTTAATTTTGTGTGTGAGCTAAATAATACAGTATATTGTATTAGACATAACTTTAAATTATATATATATATATATATATATATACATATTATTAATAATTTAATAGGAAAAATAGCTAGATAATTTATATAAATTTAAAAATTTAATTAAAAATTTTTGAAATTTACTATAATAATTACTATAACAGCATGTATAATATATATTTAAAATATTAACAGCATGTATTTACAGTAGTTTTTTTGTAGATAATTTAATTAATTAATTTATTATAAACTAATTAAATTATTTTTGCAAAAATATAAAAACAATAATATATTTTGTCATAACACAACATATAGTACAGTAAATATATATATAATATGCAAAAATCTTTACAATATTATACACTATATAATATCAATATAATCACAATTGTTAAATAACGGCTATACTATACTATACTATACTATATATATATACTGTATATAAATATATATATGTTATATATATATATATATATGTTATATATATATATATATGTTTGGGAATTAATTTTGTATTAATTTTTAAGTCCTATTATGGCTAACATCTGTTATTATAATGAAGCGCCGGGTCTTTCCTTATAATAAAGTTATTGTAATATTATGATTGTGTTGTATAACGATTCCCTCCCCCCCCCCAATCTAACCTAACCTAACCAACCAACCAATACTTAACATTATTAAGTGATATATAAAGTATTATAGGATAACCACTTGTCCAGTAATTGTCGAAAACATTGATATGATTTACTTATTTATATGTTTATAAACTTAGATATATAAATACTGTTAGTTAACTATATATTAATAGTTTTATTATAGTTATTAATTAAATCTTTTTTTTTTGATTTTAATGAAATTAATTATAATTAAATTCAAAAAAAATTTTTGTACGACTATTGGAAATTAATTAAAAAAAACTATCTTTATATATATTTATATATATTTTATTATTTTGTAAAAATAATAATTTTTACACAATAACATGATTATTGAATTGTTAACATTAATTATTATAGCTATTTTATATATACAGTAGTGTAATAGTAATAATAATAATAGTATATTAGGCTACTTATTGAAAAATTTTAAGTCATTGATAATATATATATACAAAAATTTTTAGTTTAGTCCAAAAAATAGTTGGTAATCCTATATATCTGTCTATATTTGTATGTGTGTGTGTGTGTGTGTGTGTGTGTGTGTGTGTAAAGTAATACCATTAAATTGTACTGTAGTTTATTATTTAAGCAGCAATTGGTTTTTTTGTGTTGTTGTCAATCCTATAATTTTGATGAACACTTTTGGGTATATATATACTGTATATATATATATATATATTGTCGTCGATAGGCTTAAGTGGCGCACCGACACTAACAATAGGGCCCTCCGGTTGTTATTTTAACTGAGTGTTAGCTAACACTCAGTCACACACACACACACACATACAGACACACAGACACTAACCCTATATAACTATAATATCTATCTATCACTTGCTTTCAAAATACTTTATATATATATATATATATTATACTAGACTTGAATTTCATGATATAATTCTCTCCTATTTTTTTCTGATCCAATACTTGAATATTAATGAGAGTTAGAGAGAGAGAGAGAGAGAGAGAGAGAGAGAGAGAGAGAGAGAGAGAGAGAGAGAGAGAGAGAGAGAGAGAGAGAGAGAGAGAGAGAGAGAGAGAGAGAGAGAGAGAGAGAGAGAGAGAGAGAGAGAGAGAGAGAGAGAGAGAGAGAGAGAGAGAGAGAGAGAGAGAGAGAGAGAGAGAGAGAGAGAGAGAGAGAGAGAGAGAGAGAGAGAGAGAGAGAGAGAGAGAGAGAGAGAGAGAGAGAGAGAGAGAGAGAGAGAGAGAGAGAGAGAGAGAGAGAGAGAGAGAGAGAGAGAGAGAGAGAGAGAGAGAGAGAGAGAGAGAGAGAGAGAGAGAGAGAGTTTAGTGTAGACTTGAATTTGTAAACTACTGTATAAATTACAGTTCAATCTGTACTAAAAAATGGCTTATTTTATATATATATATATATATATGTTTTGTATGTGTAAATCTCCGTTTAATATTACAGCCATATATATTGTTAGGTTATACTGTAGGTTTAAATATACAATACATACAATTGTATAGAGTTTTTACTTATACTGTATATTTAATTTATTTTTTTTAAATAAAAAAAACTATTATACAGTATATATAAGACACATTCAATAAGGATTTTTTTTTTAATATATTTATTTAATATATTGTATTTATATACTATATATATATATTATCACATTTTGCATAAATATTTAAGTTTATTTACAAACATATATTTTTCATGTATAATAACAAATAAATATCAGTTTCAATTCAATTATTACATTTAAAACCAAAGTTATTACAAGTGATAATATAAATGGGAAGAAAAACTTTTTTTTTTAAATAAAATATATAAACAAAATACTTATTATTATTATTATTAGTATTTTCAGTTTATATTTTATTATTTATATATATAATTAATATCAACAATAATAATAATTATAATGTTTAGTTAATTGGTTTTTAGTTTAAACTATTGATATTTTTAGTAAATTTTTATATTCATTGTTTTTTTTAATATACAGTATATAAAACTAACCTATAATAATATTGTTGTATATACACTGTATATTATACAGTACAAGTAATTGTGGTAAAAATCAATTATTAAATATATATTTATATAGTATATACTGTATATAGTGTTTTAATTTAATATTATTTTTATATATATATGTGTGAGTTATATACAATATATTGATATTATATACAAATATACTAAAAATGTAATCATAATTTTTTTTGTTACATGTATTAACAAAATGTAATTTAAAACAAACAAACAAACAAAAAATTATTATTATTATTATTATTATTTGATTGTTAGGATCATCTATTAGGCGACGCAACTAAAGCCAAGACTAACTTGAAATGGACGCCAAAAATATCATTTTTGGTAATCAAAAAAAATTAATTATTTAATTAATTATTACAAATAATTATCTAAATTATAAACATATAATTTTTAATGTATTATTTTTATTAGCAATTGGTTCAGGAGATGGTCGACTCGGATATAGATCTGATGCGCCGCAATCCGACTGCCTGAGCCCATACACATACCTGTGCCCAAACCCTACTGACCCTGAAGTCTACTATACCTTATATATATACAGTATATTATGTATATA